CATACATTTTAACCTTCGTAATTTCAAACAGGCTCTTAAGCTTAACTCAATTCCTCTATTTTCTTACAATAGGCTTTATTTAATTTTAGATGCTATTTTTAAATTGTTTCGTACATTTCAAAATCTTCGTAATTTTTAAATTACTCTAAATTTTAACTCTTTTTTTTAATAATTTTCGATTGTAATCACGCTTTTGATTTTACTTTTTCAGCTAAATTTACATATTTAAATGTCTTGAACATATAGTTTTCAATAAAGCCTTTCATTTTATAGCCTTTAACTGTTCATGTCCAATTCATTGAATAGCCCCTATTTAGTCTATATTTTATAGTACTGTTTTAATTTGGCAATTCTACAATTTATCATTCTGCAGCAGTCGTAACATGAATTAATGCTGCTATTTTACGTCATTATTAACTTCATTCGCATTTTTAAACTTTAATATTTCCTGCATATCCTGACATTTCCTTATAGTTTTATATCACTTTTATATCTGAATGCATGCTTTTAAGCGCTTCAGCGTTACCAATGTTCAGTTTTAAACCTCGATTGTTATTAAGCTAACTTGATAGATTCCGTATTTAGAAAGAATCCACTACTTTCATGTATAATTTTAGAACCATATTCGCTGTTTCGTGTACTTTCTTATTATTTTAAACTTTTCATACCTTTTAATTCAGTATTTTTTACTAATTCACTGAAGCCCACATTACTTTAAATGTGCCGTCTATGCAAATGTTTACTTCATTACCTTTTCCTATACTAAGTACGGATATTTCTTGCCTTCATGGACAACTTTCATGAGTAATTAACGTTTCTTTACGTTTAACGTTACTAAGATAACGTTACTAAATTCTTAACGTTACTAAGATAAACATTTCTAGTACCGAATCAGAGATGAATGACCATTGATTTTACCCATTGGTTATAATTTCATGCCTTGAAATTTTGTTTTATTGATACAATTTTATTTCTAGTGCATAATGTTAACACATTTTTAGAACTTAGTTCAGTTCCAACTAAATTTCCTTAGACAATTACAGGTATAGACTATTTTTTTAATTTCTTAGACTAGGATGTTCTTTCATGAATGTCAATATCCATTAACTTATTTACCAATTTATTTTATTATGAACGAAATCTTTTGAAACACTAAAATACCTTTACGCAACATATATTTTTACCAATACACATATAGTTACACAAGGAACAAAAGAAAGAAACAGTAAGAGACATTTTACCCAAATCTCCACTATATTTCCAAATTTTTAACCTTCTGAATCCCGAATACAGAAATTTTTTCATAAAATACTCATTATATCAGTTAAATATTCATGACGAACAACCCTTTTTGAACACAAAATTACACCCAAATAATTGATGCATTTTCTTATAATTATACGCATATGTTTGTATTATAGGAACTTTCTACGTACTTTTGAGAAATGCAATCTAATTAATGTTGCTAAATATTACATTTTTCCAAGAGAAAAACTCCAAACATTACCTAAATCCTTCAAGCTGTTCTGCATTATCACTTCGGTGCAGAATACATATCTTAGAACTATTGTCTTAATTTAAGAACGAAATAAACATTTTCATTTAATGTTTTATCTAAAATGAGGGTAATGTGGTGTATTTAATTATGACAAAGCACACTAGGGCTATCTGCCTAAGGGGAGGGATGCCTTCGTGGAGGACTTTCTAAGGGAAACTGGCTCGTATACACGTTACACATGGAAAAACCACGAAAACACCCATGCAGCCAGCCCGTTCGCGGGATTCGAACCTCGGACCGAACTACCAATGTTCAGCGACTTTACCGCCAAAATGAGGGTAGAAATTTACCAAATTTAAGTTAGCTACCCAGAATTCTCAACAAGTTTTAGGATATGTGCTATAGGAAGCAAATTATTTACCTAAAAATGAGTCTTAACCAATTCTTATCGGCTTCAGATTTGCTATTAGTTGGGAAAACCTGACGATCACTTTATCTAGCCTTGTCAGTATACACATAAGAACCACGAATCATTGTGAAGTGCAATCAGCACTTCAGATACATTTAATGCTGATTCAACTAATTTTAATTAACTTTTAATTAAGAATTTTAAAAGATAAGCATATTTATGCTACATATTATTAGATTAATGACAAACATTATTGGGGGTGGGAATACAATTAAATATCCAAGACCCACGGGCCCACTAAGAGCAATAGGAATAATAAAGCTTTATGCATATTTCTATGAAACGTGAAATCTTGTAAAGGATTAGAATAAAACCTGAGTAAAAAATTACAGTGGTACCTCGATATACGAGTGCTCTAATATACGAGTGTTTTGAGATACGAGCCGCCGAGCGAGCGATATTTTGCTTTGAGATGAGAGCAAGATTTGAAATACGAGGAATCGCACACTACACCGCTGCACACGACCGAAACATGCTTACGCATGTTCGCGTCGTGTGCAGCATCTAACAGTTTCTACCTAAACAACTTAATGGATCTTCACCTCTGCATGGAAGAAGCTGTGGCCTGAAGCTGTAGCTGAAATGGCCTTCGAAGGATTGGAACCTGAAGTGTCAGTGGTAGAGGAGATTGTTTCTCTGGGAAAATCCATGGGTTTGGAGGTGGATGAGAGAGATGTGAACGAACGCGTCGAGGAACAGTCTCAGGAGCTGACAACCGAGGAGTTACACGATTTACATTCGCAGCAGCATACGGTGGTTCAACGAAACATTAGTTTTGAAGAGGAGCCAGAGGTGGAGGAGGTATCCCTACAAGAGATATAAAGGAGATCTTGGGAATGTGGGAGAAAGTTGTAGAGTTCGTGGATAAAAATCACCGCGAAAAAGTTGCAACTGGTCGTGCATTGGAGTTGTTCAACGAAACTTGCCTAACTCATTTCAGCAATATCTTGAAAGGAAGGAAGAAATAAACCTCCTTGGACAGATTTTAAACGATCTGCAGGTGAAAATGAGCAAAGCGTGACGAAAGAAGCGAAGACCATTGACGAAAATTAAGCGCTTCCGTAAGCACTTCACTTTTGCTTTTAATTATGTTTTTATAGAATATGTATTTGTTATTTATAAATAAATGTTTCTTCTTGTAAATACATTTTTCTTATTCAAAAACACTTAACAAAAACAACTGAGGTGGTGTTTTGGGAGCTGGAACGGATTAATGGCATTTCAATTAATTTCAATGGGGAAAATTGCTTTGAGATACGAGCAATTTGACATACGAGCAAGGTTACGGAACGAATTAAACTCGTATGTCAAGGTACCACTGTATTTCCTATAAGCAGTATATGGTTAAAAAGAGTATTCTTATGATAACTTATTAACTCTTAAGAAATAAGAGTAAGGTAATGAAAAAACGTGTTTAGGAATTTTAATTCATTTTCTTAATCTATGCTTTTATATGAAACAGAAAATTCAGTGAAACCCCCAATTTTTTTTTTCTATGGCATGCCCATTTCTCCTAACAGACGAAAACCGGAATACTTCACTTTTTCATAGATTTTGTAGATTTTGCTTTAGACTTACTTTCATCGGAAAAAGAAAATGATTTTACTTACAAAATAGGATATCTTCTACTAAAAGACCTTGAAACAATCACGTTCAGGTTTATATTTATTACTCAGTGGTTCAGTTTCAAACCAAATTTTGACATTTTTTAATCATGCATGCAACGATTTTCATCTCCGAGTTAAATTTTATACGACTGCAACAGATATTTTAATGGCTATTATACTTATACTGTGTAAAAGGCTTTTAGGTTTGAATATTTTAATTTATATTATTGAGAAATACATTGAATATTTTCAGAAAACTTTACAAAAACAGAAAAATTGTTTCCAATACCTCTTCTAGAGATACTAATAAATTCTGATGTAGAAAGAATATTCAATTCATATTATAACTCTAGTCTATTCGCAAAGAAAAAAAGACACTGTAGACGGTAACATAGTATCATATCACCCATATAATTCCTTAAAATTTACGTCAATTTCAAAAAAGCGAATTATCTGCAGAGCTTTCAAATACAGATATATTTCTGAAAGCTCTGAACATGCCGCTCTTTTACTTTTAATCATTTAAATAAACCCAACAATTTAATAAAATATTTGAATTTTCAATAAAATTTAGTACATATATACAGTTGTTTAATTCATAAAATAACCAAGTATTGAAAATAATAAGAGTAAAACCATCACCATTTCAGAATTTAAGAAGAGAATTTCAATAACGAGAATGAAAATATACTGATCTTCATGCAAGAGTTTTTTTATCGTTTAATACCAAACATTTCACAATTTCGTAGATTCACAGATATCCCAATCTTGCTCAAAGGATATATATATATATATATGATTTCACAATAATTAGGGAGTGCCACGTGAGTTTAACTGCAGATGTTTCCTGAATGATACTAAAACTTTCAAATATTTTTATCGTTCATGAAAATTTATGAATCATAACGATCTGTCATAAAATCTTCAAAGCTTCACATGCTATGATACAGCTTCAAAAATATAAAAATATTTTGAAAATCCCAATTCCCATAGAAAATTTTAGCTATTCTTGTGTAAAGTTATATTTGAAGGTATATCACTTAAGTCGAACTTGAAGACCAACCAACCTTATCACATGTTTTCATACATTTCTGTTAATTTTTTTTTGCCGAAAATAGAAGTCAATATTCTTCATACGGAAACTATTACAGCGAATCAGTTACATTTTATACCCATATTACTTAATATTTTCTTTACTGTACCAAACTACTTTAAGTACCATATTTGAAGCTCAACATCCATAAATTAACTACAGCTACACAGTGCAAACTAGAAGAAGCTGGATAACCTATATTACATACAGAACATATATTACATACAGACTAGAATTCTCAAGGACTACCTAAAGAATACATTAAACTGTTCAAACAATTAATCACATTTTATATAATTCTATGCATATTTCATACATTAAACACATTTCACGTTTTCAGAAATATAGCATCACGTTTTCCAAGACTATGGTCAATATATCCAACCTTATGAAAATGAATCATCTAAGGTAAAATGGGGTAGTTTTATTATCTTAAACTGATAAACAAGCGATTAGGGAAGTGAGGCCTTGTTAAACTAGTATATGAATATAGCCTAGTAATTGGTAGTCTAACCATCCTGGTTTGTGTGCAACTGTAACTGTGTATACCTTCCAATAATTTTGAGAAATCGAAGGTATTGCAAATTTCTTGGTGGTCGAGGGGAACTTTGTAATACCGAAGAGAGCATTAGTTTTCAGTTGAGTTCAGAATACTGAGAGCTCAGTAAGAGAGCTTGGCTTGTAGATGCGCTTTGCATTATCAGGTGTTCAACATTCTTAGTAGTTTGAGGTGATAGCTACTGATTGTAATCTGTTATACTAAGAAGAACTGTAAAAGTACTTTTGTGTGAAAAATTCCATAGTCTGATGAAAGTTTATCGGTTCTGTCCACTATTCAATCCATTACGAAACTGTACCCACGTAACAATATCAACAGAAATGCTGGCACAACAAAGGTTTTGTAATATTTATTTAAAAAATCAAAAGGATAAAAATAAATATTCATTGAATATGATTCTTCTCCATAAAACCACACATTAAAAGTTAGTTATTTTGCACAGTTGCAGTTTTGTGTAGACAGTCGTATAGGACCTGAAATAAAATTTCAGATTAGTTAAAATGGTTTGGCACTTTCCTGAACACACAATAATTGTTGCCAACATACTTTTCTCATATACCTGGAGTAGAAACTCGCCATTACACAAATGTAAAGCAGCTTTTTAAAATATATGCTTATTGAAAATTGTGACTCTTATAGATTTAAATTGTTATACCAAAAGAAACACACTTCTTGAAATTTAAAATTTCAGGAAAGAGAATATTCAGTAAAATATGTTGATATTTAAAATACCTTCATTTTAATCCTTTTTACGTCATGTTATTCTACAAGATCGTTGTCCACCTCTGCCTGGTAAATTATTATTAATAAAAACTGTTTTCTACCACAAGGCTTAAATTTTTTAATTTCCTTTCTAAATTTATAGCAATGCATGTTTATATAACACCGAATAATTAAATAAAATTATGTGCACTTTTTAATATTGAATTGATGCGACTGATATGTCCAGTTACAGGTACAATGGAAACATAGCTTTCTGGTCACAAGACTAGGCCGGGTAGGTTGTGCTATTAGCAGTAGATGCTATATTGTTCAACAGAGTTCGTCGAAGTGAATAAAGAGCACACTTTTATTCTGCGAGTTTAATTGGGACACTCTACATGGCCGTGTGACAGAGTATTAACATCGCATTCGGCACAGGTACGGATACTGAACACATCTGATTCCGAAGGTACATGAAACATGCTGAAGAAACAACGCTTTAAAATGTATTCTATAACCATCGTATGATACTAGTTTCAGATGAGCTCTTAAGAAACACCATCGAAACTGAGACACAGGAAAGTATATGCGATATTGCAAAAAAATCTTGGTATACACCATACTGCCGTCCTTTGATGTTCTGAATGATCGGTAAAGCAAAATGTACTTTATGTCGACATGAGGTGAGTTTATTCAAAAATACCGAAGCACACAAGGGCTAGATGCCTTCGAAGGACTTTCGAATAACAGCGACATGAGTCGATACCATCAACAAGGCATACCGTCTAGCACTGTAAAATTCGCTTTTTGAGGAAAAAAAGAGGAAGGAATTATACATTAGATTGTGGTATATGATGAAGAACGAATATGTCTCAACAGTCGTAAAGGTATCGCAATTATTATGTAATTAAAAATTTTATTATAATGATAGCATTAATATAATGATTGATTAACAATGTTTATAATGACATTTAAATAATGCTCAATGCTTATTTAAACAATGATCAGAGGGTTATCCCAAATACATTTTCCACCCACAAAAGATGTTGCTGATTTTATGATGATCTGTTTGTCCGTAATTCGTCAAAAATTTTGCAGTTTGAAACTCTTCCATATCTGTTGTAACTGTCATCTGCTGTTGAGAGAGATGTCCAGCATATAAAAGAAAGATCACAGTGTACTAACTTCTTTCACCAAGCATTTCAGTAATTGGCGGCAAATGACAAAAGTAAATGGATGCCGATGGAAACTACTTTGGCTAAACAAGCATTTTAGTTACACTTAGCATTTGAGGAAAATGTGCCTGTTGAATATTCACTCGCATCAGTTTATCTATCCATCTATATGTGATAATAGCAAGAAAAAGACGGAGCAGTATTGATGCGTATGTATATGAATACTGAAGAGGAAGAATCTTGATTGTGTAGTATACTAATGTGTTCAGATCGTAATATCTAAGAAACTTGCCAGTCGAGGCATTTTTAATTCACTTTTTATTTTCTAGTTGACGTTCGTGGCCACAATTCACTTGGCACTCTAGTCGTGCTTATTCACAAAATATTTACATTTTTGATATTATTGCAATAGCAAGCAAGACAGCAAAACTAAGCAGGGCAGAGCGCGAAGCTGAAGTGCGCAGTTATGCAATATGGAATGATCTAGAAATGGAGCAATCCAGAGAAGTTATTACGATTTTTATAACACAGAGGAAGAATTAAAGGGTTACCGTTAGTTTAAATTATAATTTTGATTTACATATTTTTATCTTTCATATATATATTTATAACAACTACAGCCCATATAATTTTATAAGCCATGCAATGCTGATTTTTAAGAAAGTTTTCATGATTAATTAAAGCTGTTTATAACTCCAGTATATTACTTGCCCGAGTACAGAATACATGATTTAACTTTACATTCTACCTTTTAATAATATTTTTAATTGACGTAACTTATACAGTACTTCATTAATGATAGTCAAATACATGAAAGGAGTGTTTGAGAATGTGATAAGGAAGTATTTTAAGAAAAAGTTTCGTTTAGCTGATTATGGCAAAGCACATGACAAATCTTAAGGTTATCTGCCTAAGGGAAAGCATTTCCAAGAGAAACTAGCTCGTCTACGCGTTACACACGGGGAAAACCCCCATGTGTAATGCCCATGCAGCCAGCCCGTTCGCTTGAAATCGAACCCAGGGTGGAACTAACAGTGTTCAACGATATTACCACTCGACCGCTGGTGGGCGTTTTAAGAAAAGGAGTGTTAATCGCGAAATGCTTAAATATGTAAGTGTTAATGAAAACATTAAAGCTGAAATATAAAATGAAATACATCTGTTAGGTATTGACATCGGTACGAACTTCAAAAGGGGTAAGGATTGAATTTAAGGGAAAATATAATTTTTGGATTTTCTTTCCATTATGCTTTAACTTTTTTCTCTGGGGTTATTAAAATATTCCGCAATTTTTTACAAAGTAATATGAAGAGAATATATAAAAGTAACAGAATTTAAAACGAAATTATATATTAATAGCCTTCTTTTGTAACATATCTTGCCAGCTTCGACAGCGTGAGAAGTTCACACAGCATACAAAATACTTAACCTTTCACAGTCGGTTCTTCCCTTCGAGGGGACATTAAAATTTACTAAAGGTTATATAGGATAAATTTACCCTAAAACAACATTTTGAAAAAATATGCTTGTCTGCGTGTGAAACATCATAATTGCATGTTTCCGTAAAGATTTTTATTGGAATGACATTAAAAATAAAAAGTTTAGTTTATAACCAAATTTTAGTTTATATATCTAGATATACAAGAAATATCAGCCGGTGTTACGCCGTGAAAGAACGCGTAAAATTCATTTACGGTGCTGTCTAAGCTTCTGTCTAAAAATACTGCAGGAGCGTTTGTATATGTAACGTATTTAGTATACTGCAGATCTATATATAATGCATAGTATATCATCCGTACGGTACTGAATAGACTGAAATGATTATTAAGCAATTTAAATGTAACATACCTTCAAAACTGAATGCAGTTCTTGCTGAAGTATACAGGGGTATAGATCTCAACCTGTGCTAGTTTTAATTCTTTAAAAAAAAAATTTGTTCTGTAATTTCCTAATTTGTAATCTATATTTTCACGAAGAAACGTTATCAAGTTACTGGTAAAGTTTAAAATTGTTTGAATGTAAAGTTTAAAACGTTTCAAAAATGAATTCCTTTCTGTTTTGAAGAGATGTGAATTAAGGTTTTACAGATAGATTGGGCTTTACTATGGCCTGCAATTCTGAAATGTATCCCTGAAATTTATACTGAAAGGTTTCTAGTTAAGCTAAAAGATTCACTTTCTAGTTAAGCTAAAAGATTCACTTTCTAGTTAAGCTAAAAGATTCACTTTCTATTTAAGCTAAAAGATTTGCTGTTTATTAAAATTTTATACTTTTCTTTAGAAGACTCCTATGCAGATATCTGAAATTAAAATTAAAGGATATAAAAGGATATAACTGTTAGATAAGGCTGAATAAAATCTTTTGTTTACGCAATTTCGAATTATTTCAATTAAGAATGAAGAAATGTTTGTTACTGAAACTACATTTTGGCAAAAAAAAAAAGTGGTGGATATTTGAAACTGCTTTAGGCATAAAACAGAAATATGGCTTCCCAAATGGCTGTTAATAGTACAGAAGGTATTTACATATTTTTAGAATGATTTAGGGTTTAGTCAATGTTTAAAATGTAAAGAGTATGTTTTTAAAAGTTCGATCTTATAGTCTTTCTTTCATAGTCTGCACTACGATTTCCATGAGTTGTTTACAAAGAAAGGCTTTTCATTTTAAATTTCAATTACCTTCCTGAGCCAATCGGTAATAGTGTGTTTGTTCTTAAAAAGAGATCTTTTCAAGGAAAAAAAAAAAAAAGGCAAAATAGTCCATAGGTGTAACGTCAGAGGACTTAGAAATTATGTTGGAAAGCTACAAATGCAATACTTGCATTAGTCTTCCCCCCCCTTTTTTTTTTTTTTTTTCCAAGGAATACAACGATACTTTTCGAAGTATGATTTGTTGCTTTGTCTTGAAGAAGTTCATTGAACTTTGAAAGCTACTGGGATTAATAAATGAATTTTTTTTTCTCTAAATATCGGACTTAAAACTTTCTCTTGACTGCATGTAAAGTTGATTTTATCACTTGTTCACTCTTTTTATTTTAAATTTCAAATTATAAGGGAATCCTACGATGAATCATAAACCCTTTACTGAAACTTTTCTTTGCATTGACGGAACCGGTTTATATATATTTTCTTCCTTCGCTTTCGATAATAAATAGATTTTTTTTTTTTTTTTTTTTTCGTTGCAGACATTTCGGTAAATCCATACTTTTATTAAAGGCCGTTTCGGTTTATCTTCTGTTCATACAGGGTTCTACAAACTGTTCTGCTTTGAGCCACATTACCTTGGCAAATTATTTTTAGCTCTTTTAAGTTCTGAATCTTGGTTTATTATTTTATTTATTACTGCTACGTATGTATGTAAAGACATTGCACCTGATTTCTGCGTCGATGGATTCTCTTTTGCTACGATTTAAGTTTAGAAACTGTACGTTTTATCCACAATGAGTGGCGGGTTTTCCTTTTTTAGGTTAATAACACTGACTATTTGCTCTTGGAAATTTTAATACCATGCATTTCAAAGCATTATTGAAATATTTGATATGAATATATCTCTGCGGAAAGTGCAAAAACCCATCCTTCAAATTTTGTTTACATGCGATATTTTGAATGAAGAATAAAAGTTGCAGACGACATTTCTTATCTCAAATAATAAGTTGTTGCTAGAAATTTTTGTTTCAAAACATTTGCTTTTAATCCTTTATATAAATAGTTCTAAAATGTATAAACACCCTCCACATACCCGAGGAGTGGCCATCGATTTTTTTTTCTGTTGCTTATTGATTAATGATAAGAACAACATTTATTTATATTATTATGCAATAAAATAAACGCCATACAAGTTATACATCTGATTACTATGACATTGTCTATCTCATTATTAATGTTTCGTAATAACAACGAGGAAAATAAATTTACAGAATTTTATAGAAACGTTTTTGGAAGAACAAACTTGTACTTAAAAATATGCAACCAAAATAAATTTACCTTGAGGCTTGTTTCTATCATGGTCTTCTCAATTTGCTGAAATTTAAATATATGAATTAGCAAAACGTTTTTAGGAATAATACAATCAGAGCAAACTGCTAAGTTTCAGATAGAAATCCTAAGAATCTTACTATAATAGCAAATGGAAGTCAATTGAATATGAAAGCGTACTGTAAATTAAAATAGACGTTTGAAACGTTAAAATACAGTATCTTTCCTAGTCAGATTTACTGATTTGAGGTAAAGCACTATGAAATGTAAATGTACGTTGGCAATTCAAGCAAGAAGGTTTCATCTTTAAAAATACTATTCAAAGAAGCTCAGTTATATTCACGATACATACAATTATGAAATCGATTTAAATAGATCATAAAGAAGTTTATGTACAATGGCCTCCAGTCACGTATTAAACACTATTTAACAAACTTGAGATACATCATGCGAGTGGCCCTGGCTTTCGGTGGAAAAACAATTTCATTAGGTGGAGACAGCTGTTGTGTAAGCTGTTAGCTAACTTGAAATCCTTTTTAATTTTCTGTAACTGATTATTTTCAATTTAAAGCAGTTTCTATTTTAAACTGGTATTAATCAATTGCTTTGAATTCATTGATTGCATCATATTTTAAAAGCTAAGTATTCTTTTTTATACGAGTTGCAATTGTTTTACTTAAATTGGTAACTTATAATGATTAATATTTTAAATACTTTCCTAGAAAAACTTATTATAACAGGGTTAGTACAAATGAATGATCGGATTTTAAATATTTATATTTTCGAAACTATTACATATATTACAATAAGTTATACTCGAAATTAAAGAAAAATATACCAAGTTTAATTTTCACCTTCGATCAATAGATGGCAGCACATCCATAGAACGCTGTGATTAAAATCCCAAACAGCGACAGAGAAGAGGTTTTGCGTATTAGAATATGCAACGATTTTTTCAGTTAATTATGTGAAGCGTGCATTTAGAAATCGCTACGCATGGGAAGCATCAAGTAAGAGAACATTCTGAGGTAGTACAAATTTAAGGATACAGGTTGTTTGCGCAAAACGTAAAGCACAGGCCGTCCACGCATCTCGGAAGAAAGGTCGGAGAAGATGAAGCAGAATTTTGTTTGAAGCCGACGGATGTCTGGAGGCCTGATCTAGCACCACAGTTGACGTCCGTCAACTTGGAATTCTCAAGAAAACGGTATGGGAAATTTAGCGAAGAAATCAAATTTCAAGCCGTATCATCTACAACTGTCGCAACATTTAACAGCGAGCGACAAAATTCCTCGATCTGATTTTTGTGTTCGTATACAAGAGAAATTGGAAAATGAAGATTTCGCAAATAAACTGATTTTCTTAGACGAAGCAACCTTCCATTCATCAGGAAATGTCAATCGCCATAATGTTAAAGTGTGGGAAAGTGAAATTGTGCAGTTACAAAGAGATTCACCAAAAATCAATATTTTTGTTGGTGCTATATCACAAACAAAATTGTATGGTTCTTCTTCCTTGCAGATAAAACGGTTACATACGTGCATACATAAAGGAGGAGCTTCCACACTGATGGATTGGTGATCGATCAGCGATTTCCTCTTAATCGCATGGCCATCAAGATTCCCGGCTCTTACATCATGTGATTTCTTTTTAGGGGTTACATCTAACTGTTTATAAAACACCGATGCCGAAAACACTGCAAGAACGTAACACGTTCCCTGCCGCGTGGGGCGTATGCGCCCCACGCTAAACTTTTCGTTCAAGCCATTTGGTAGTATCATTGTAAAATGAAGAATATTTTAAAAATTCATTATGCAGTCAATTATGGGCATCTTAATACTACTGCTGACGCCCTCATTTAATCGTGGGGCGTGCGTGATGAGCAATTTTTTTGATCGCCAGGAACAAAATAATACAAATGTAAAGCGTGGGGGGCATACGCCCCACGCGGCCTGAACGGGAAGTCTTCAAAAAAGGGTCTGGCAGGGAACGTGTTAAAGAACGTTTCCTGCCAGACCCATTTTTGATTTAGGAACCATTGACAGTGTCATAGAACAGCAAGCGTAGAACAATTGTGATTACAGATTAGATGTTTGTTGTGTAACAGAAGGGTCACAAATCAAATATGTGTAACTGAAAAAAAACTTGCTATATATTTCATTTTAATTTCTTGTATCACTTGTTGTAATATGTGTACCAGTTTCGAAACTATAACTATTTAAAATACGGTCTTTCATTTGTGCTAGCTATGTATTTAATTTTCTTTTTGAAAACGTAATTCTTAATTTAAGTTACGGTTGATTTTATTCTTTTGAATTAATTGTTGTTTTATTGGTTTGGTAAAAATGTTTATTACTTTATTTTAAATTTAGATTTTGTGTTACATTTAATGGCGTCTAAGTGTGAATGTTTTGCCAAGTTGATTTTTATTCCTTTAAATTTTCCTTTCTTGTAAAGTTCCGATTCTGTAGTTTCTCGCTAAATCTCGTATTTTCGACAGCTTGTAACTATGATATTAGAAATTCAATAAATTATAAAGAATTAAACCTTTGCAACAGAAATTGTAAAAATATTAAAAAAAATGACTACACTTTAAAAGAAGAAACACTTTTGGGGGTGAAAGACTACAAATTCTGGAACTGAATTTCAGAATTTGTTTGGAATGTTATTATCTTTCGCGTTGCTTAACTTAGTGTTTCGAAGAAGAGACCTTCGCTTCAGGATGACAGTGCCCACATCACGTGACACTTGGGCAAATGGGGCCTGGTAACGAGTGTACTCTGAGAATCGTTGACGGAGCCAACGTTTGGGGCTTTCAGCTCGTGATTATGGAAAAATAGTTAGCTGTTGGATTATATTTTTAATTTTCGGAAAATTCATAACATTCCTTTTAAGCTTAGTTATATCGGCAGAACGTGATTAGCAATTAATCCTGAATAAAAAAATGAAATTAATAAATCTTCTATCGTTGATTTCTTCACCATATTTTTAAGTTTAAATGGAACGAAAGGTTTCACTAGAATAATTTACTGAATAGTTTTAATTCTGCTAAAATTATCCCGAAAACTTCTGAACTAAAATTCTATGATACTTTTCAAATTCACAGGTTCTACCTATTTTATATAATGATATTATTTCGTTCTAGTTTTTCCAGAAAATTAAAATATTAAAACTCAAGTTTGTCGTCAATAATTTTCCTTATTTCCCCCTACATAATAAATTGCGTTGTTCTAGTCATCTCTGCATTAATTTCCCTTTTTAATTTACTCCGATATAGAATACTTTTGTTTCTTGAAACAGAAAATCTCTGGTCTGAAAAACCTCAAAATCTGTAAAACCAACGCGACCGATTTTTCAAATTTCCAACAGGTTTATGTTCAACAATGAAGCTGAATTCTGTGTGATAATAATCTCAGATTCAAAAAACGAAGATAAGACACTTGTTTAATTCATTAATTCATTCATCGAACCAAATTCAACCATCGTCTTGGCATTTGGGAAGTCATTGTTTTTAAGATTAGACTACCTCTGGTATGCTTAATGGTTATTAATTGCACACTCCTTCATTATTTGATACACAGTGACTATGTTTTTATACAACAGTGCATTACACATATACATGTACACAAAATTAAACAAGAAACAATTTTTTGCAATACTACTCCCTACAATTTTTCAATTACAATATCTGCAAGGAAGTCGACTAGATATTTCTGGTTAGTGCACTAGAAACGAAAATTTATCCTTGCCTAAGCCTTTAAGAATACTACACGATAATCAGACCTATGGAGCAAAAACCTAGCGCCAAGTTATGTATCGAAAAGTATCAAAACATGTGGCGACAACATGATTAATGGAATCAAGCCAAGTTACATTATTCATGTTACTAGAATTAAAAAAAAAGTTTCAAAATAAAAAATCGCACGCTTATAAATTATTTATATGTGCAAAAAGAATTCTTTCAAAGTGGTGCTCTTCCTTCGTCGACTAATGCGAATGAGCAATTAGGTTTTTATTAAATATTGTTGCGTTTTTTATGACACCAGTTGTTACGTTATTTTCTTCCTTCACGTTCGTACGGGGTTCGTGTGGATTTAGAGTGAATAAGGACGACATCACTTGATGGAATATCGATACACACTTTATTTAGCCAATATTAATCAGGACAGCTCCAAAGTCACTTTTTACAGTCGTCGAAGATCTACTATAAAAACGCTGGAACAATCAGCGACACAGCCTTCAGACTATCACCGTGAATACAGCTTTATGGCAAAGTACTAGAGTACAGCTCCCGACTCTCCTCGGTCGTTCTCGGAACTCTACGTACTGTAGATACTCTCCATGCTACAACTCGTGGTGCACTCGACGACACACAAGAGTACAGCTGACGACTCGCTTCAGTCGTTCCCGGAGCTCAGCACGCTCCAAAACAAAACTCGACAATGCACTAACTCGCGATACATTAAAGACTCTCTCGATGCAATCGGCGACCAACTCGGCGCTAGAATTCGAGACACTCGCTCAATAACCGACTATCAACTCGCTAGACATTAACTAACTCTCCTCGTACCAGCAGGGTTTATATAGCTTTCGGCTTACGTTCGACAACATTCTGAGTTAAACCGGTAAAAATTCGTTCCAGAAGGTTCTCCATCCGTCCATGGCAAATTTTGTCAGCAAACATAGCCAAAAGGGCGACTTTTCGCCAAATATGGCAACCCTGAACTTATTTTGCGGGAGAGTTATCTTATCGGGCCTGTACATTTCGTAACAATATATATAAATATGTTCTTCCGGTTGTTCACATTGAGAACTTACCAACAGCAAATTACCGTTACAACATATATTTTTCTCCAATATAACTAAAACATGTCGGATCTAATAATTAAGACAATGAAGTACGACGAACACCAATTTATTAATAAAGTAACACACAAACAGAAGAATAAAAGTGATAGATTTTTATAACCTACACTGCTCATGCGCAGATTTCAAGTCCTAACGAAAGTTCATTTTGTCGCATGATTTGTAAAAATTTTTTGGTTTGGTTTAGTTTACTATGACAAAGCACACTAAAGGCTATCTGCCTAAGGGAAGGGATGCCTTCGTGGAGGACTTACTAAGGGAAACTGGCTCGTATACACGTTACACATAGAGAAATGTACGGAAGCGCGCATGCAGCCAGCCCGTTGACCGTGATTCCAATCCTGGTTGAAGCTACTAGTTTTCAGCGATTTTACCGCTTGGACGCTGGCCGGCGGTTCGTAGAAAAGAAATGAATTTTTATATTTGGGTGAATTACGCATCACGTGAGCTGGAGCAGGTGCCCTGTTTGAAGAACGACTCACGCCAGATACATCGTTAATTTTTTTTATAAAATGTACGTAGTACGCAACTTACTTGCGATTAATTTAACAATTAACGTGTAACTTATCAGTGCCGCTCAGACGGTATAGTGGTTAGGGGAGCCTGACTGCGATACCGAAGGGCCCGAGTTCGAAATTCGGAGAAGGCATAGATGTAATCTTCTGTCCCTTCATAGGTGTCAAAGGTGGCTCACCTATTAGGTGCCTCCATAATAAAGAGACCACCATATATGGCCTTGGAGTGGCCGATATCGGCAAGTGCCCGCCATTGGGAAAAAAAAAATATTTAACTTACCAGTTAAGAGGTGGCTCTTTATAAGATTTAACTCTTGGCTTCCTGAGCGTTTTTCTTCTTTCATCTGACAGAAAAAAGAAATGTAGGAGAAATTAAGCCAACTATTTACAATTAGAAGTGAATTTAAGTAACTAATGTAATAATGCTAATAACTACTTGCATAATCAAATCAGCGAAATGATAAATACATAATCAAAAAATTAATGGTTTGCCTGTTTTGAAATTAACCAGACTTTCATGTTCACTTAATAAGATTTCCTAAGACACGATATAACGTGTAATGTAACATAAATGCGCATACACATGCAAGAAATAAATATACTCTCCACGAATTTTTACATATCGCAAGAATACTTTTATTATGTTGTCAGTGCAATGCTCTCTCTTATTATGTTTGGTTAATGTCAAAAGGGATTCGAATGCGAACTACTTTTGTATCGACGAAATTAATCTGCCTCAAATAGTTTTCTGAAACATAAATCGTCAGAGTTCTTGTTCTTAACACCTAAACTCTCTTCGTAAAAATTAATTCCATTGCTTCTTTTTAGATTTGAACAGTTTCGAAAGCAGTTTGCTTTAAACTAATTAATTGCTGGAAAATGTAACATTTTAAGTCATTAATTCAGCAAAGAAATCAAGTAGTTATGTTATTTATGAGGTTGATCAATAAAATCCTGGGAAACAGGTTATCTGCATAAGAGGTTTCATGGTTTCTTCATGTGTAACATGTAAATGATCCAGTTTCTCAAGTCCTATACGAAAGCATCTCTGCTCTCCGCGGATATCTTTATTGCGTTCTCACAATTCAAATTAAAAAAAAAACTGGATATTACGAAAAGAACAGAAATCTTTTTAAAACATTAGTAATTACACCTATAGTCACAGCTATATTAAATTTAGTTATTTGGCGTAGTCACAGCTATATTATATTTAGTTATCTGGCATAATCACAGCTGTATTACTTTAGATATCTGGCAAATAAATAATATAAAAAAAGTGTATTGCTATGAATAATGACCTTTCTATCACATGTAACCCTAAATTTCACTAAATTCATAATTTAAAAGTAACTTATATTCGAAAATAGAAACTTTCGAAATTATATATATATATATATATTAAAAAAATCCGAAGACTGTTCGAGTAGAATATTTTAAGTTAACTAGTATGAAATAAAATTACTAATAATAAAAATGTAAAATATGAATATTACAGAATTAATTCAGCAGAATTGAATCAAAAGGTCTAACTGAAAAAACAATTTAAAAGATTAATAACAGTTTATGGAATTTTTGTTATTTTTCTTAATGTGTAAGAGGAATACGAAATTATTTGTCCTTGAAAGCACCTTTCTTTAATTCTTAAGTACTTTTTCGTAATTATTTTTCCTGCTTACTTATCAATTGGTTTTAATTCCTGCTACGAATCATTGATTGTTCCGTTCCGGATTCTTTCCTCGGCTACTGAGCAGTTAAGTAATGGGTTACATGGAGTTTTCCTACCTTTCCCTACCTTTAACCGAGCGGATCTATAACCGAATCGACTACAGAGCAGAAAGTATTCGTACAAGAGTGGTTTCACGAAAGAAACTATTATTTTGCCATGCTAATTCTATCGAAACTTCTTCGAAAGGCAAAAACTAATGAAAACACTTTTACACCAAATACGAGTGCACAAAACCATACGAAAAAGATATTGAGTTAGCTTTCAAATATATGGGAAACTAAAAATCTGGGATTTATTAGCGGCTAAAGAGTATTCGTATATTCAAACAAATGCAAAATTTTGGTAGCATTTTCTAATTGTTTTAGTCATTTTTTCGTTGATAAATGACGTGGTGTTTTATGAAATGATCGGGTGTAACTTTAAATGTGGTAAGAAAGGTAAAATTTTAATATGGGTTGTAAACGTAAAGAAATGAGGGTTTCCGAAAAGGAATTTAAGCTTCTTGAAGGTGGTAATCGTACAATGAAATTCCAGTTTTAGTCGTCAGACCACGTTCACCTGTTCAATCGATCATTCAAAAGTCTGTTACCTCTTAAACAGTGCAAAATAGTGCTGGTCGGGATGACAGACGATTTCTGGGACATTCGTTTGAAGAAAGACCTCGCAAGTGCTCTTAAGCTTACAGCGGAATTGAGGAGTAAAGAAAGAGCAGTATCCGTAAATACTCGTACAATTCGAAATGCATGCAGAAAACAAGGTTTCCATGGCCGTTTTCCAAAACGAAAATTCTTTGTGAGTGAGAACAATAAAGAATTTACGATTATCCTTCGCCAAAAAATACGTAAATGGAAGTCCAGAGTTCTGGAAGAATACTGTTTTTTCAGATGAAAGTAAATTCAATATTTTTGGATCGGACGGGGGGCGACTGGTGTGGAGGAAATGAAATGCAAAAAAATGCATCCAAGGAACTTACTATTAACACTAAAACATGGAGGTGGAGGCGTGTTATTTTCGGGTTGTACGAGTACTTCCTAGATTGTTAATTCAGTCATCATTAACGGCATTATGAACCACTTGCTGTACACTGATATTCTGAAAAAGAATTTTCGGTCTAGTGCAACAAAAATGGGCTTGGATAGTGAATATGATTCCACGCATGATAATGACCCCAAGTATACAGCCCTAAATACCACGGCCATATTAGCCTAAAGTTTATGAAATTTCCTCCTCAACCAGCCGAGCTCAATTCTATTGTGAATTTATGGGAAGCGTTTGATAAAAGTACACTCATGTCCATAAATTAAGGATAATGCAAAATCAGGCAAAAGAAGAGTTAGAAGCAAAACAAATCTGACTTTGTAAAGCTTATTTATTAAACAAAAGGTAAAGAGCAAAAAAAAAAAAAGGCTATATGTTTGATATTATTAAACAAATCAGCGATTTTTTCGTTCTGGTAGACATGTAGGAGGATGTTGACGGGCTGCAACTTGTCGCCCAAGCATGTCCCACACGTGCTCTACTGGATTCAAGTCCGGTGAGAATGCTGGCCAGTCCATACGGGTGATATCCTCCGATTGAAGGCATTCCCTTACGATGTTTGCACGGTGAGGTCGGGCGTTGTCATCCATAAACACAAATTGTGCGCCCATGGCGCCCCGAAACAAACGTACACGTTGTTCCAGAATGATGTTCCGATAGATTTGGCTTGTCATGGTTCCAATTTGAACACGCAGGTCAGTTCTGGAACCCAGAATAATTCCACCCCAAACGAGCACTTCTGCACCACCGCAACGGTGTTGTTCAATGATGTTTTCTTGGTGGTAACGGGTATCTGGAGCTCTCCATATGAAAATCCGGCGAGAATCAGACTGCAAGCTAAACCTGGACTCGTCGGAAAACATCACACAAGCCCACTGTTGCGGTGTCCGAAATGCATGCTCTCTACTCCAGGATAACCGCAGGCGGCATTGAGTTGCAGTAAGTGGAATGCATCTGACAGGTCTACGAGCATACAGACCAATCTGCCCTAAGCGTCTGTACGCGGTCTGCCTTGAAATTGTCGTACCAGTGGCTGAAGAGAGCTAACGAGACGGGTCTGAGGCTATGCTCCGCCTGTTTCTTTTGGCAGTAACTGCCAAATACCGGTCCTTATTCGGCTTTGTAACTCTGGGGCGACCTGTGCTGTAACGTCTACTCACTTTACCATCATCTTGGAATCGTTGCCAAAGCCTGGAGATGACACTATGGACAATTTTAAGTTCGTCTGATACTCCCAGTTGAGTACACCCACATTCCAGACTGCCGATAATTCTATCACGTAAAAAATCATCCAAATGCGACCTTTGTGTCATAACTATTCGGTTATTGCACTGAAATGCTTATAAAGCGCCTGCGAACAATTTTACTTCTTTGCCTGTATTCCTTATATATTACTCTCTTACACTCTCGTCATTGTGACGTACCATCGGTGACATCTGGTTACTTACTGAAATTTGCATATGATTCTTGAAGATGTGTATAATGGTTTTACAGGTGATATATTTATTTTAGAGTTCGATTTCCGCGTGACTCCGAATTATCCTTAATTTATGGACATAAGTGTATTAGAAAACGCATAGTTTTAATAAAAATGAATTAATAGCTTCTCTTAAACAAGAATGAGAGGCCATATCCAGCTCAATAACAGAAAATTTGATTGAATCAATGCCAAGGAAACTCGAAGCCATTATTCACTCTAAAGGATATCTACAAGGTATTAAATATATTTATGAAAATATTCAATATTACGTATAATGTACGAATACGTTTACACCACAAGATGGACGGACTGCTTTTGTTTCGTAAATATTTTTATGCATGCATTTATTTTCACGCAAATTTCACATAGCTATATTAAAGTATATTTGATCACTTATTGTGGAGTTTAGGTTCATAGGTTTTTATCAATGAGGCATTTTTAGATTACTGTACAATGTATCTGTAATACGAGCCGATTCAACCCTAAAATGTTCTCCACGAAAACATTCTTCTTCTAATTAATTCTCTTATGATTAAAATTTATTAATCATAAGAAAATTACATATTTATATAATTAAACACTATTTTATACAAACTCTTTGATGAAGCAATACTTTTTATAAACATTTACACATATTAAAGCAAAAGATTTAGGACCTACATATCGAAATTTTTTTATGGAAATTTGATTTGACAAAATTGCTTACCTCCGCAACTTCCGTTATCATATTTCGATTCTAGTTCATTTACTGCGTTTATTAGTGAAGGATTTTTTGCAGTAGCTGGAGCAACAGCAGTACAGCAATTACTTGATGCTTTGGTTCTTTTTATCATGCTAATGGGTCTTTTTTGTAAGGGTTCAGAATTACTTCTTTCCGACTTGTGCTGAATCTTTTCTGAATTTATCTGTTGAGTATTGATATTTCCTAGAGAAGGATTTCTTTGTAAAGTAGAATCTGAATTTTGCTTGTTTGAAAACATAAAAATCTCGTCTTCTATATCATCTAGTTCTGGTAAATCGTATGTCCATCTGATTTCAGAAAAACTTTTTCTTTTACGTTGGTAATGCAGTGGTGCTTCAGATACTCTGACATCGATCCTCGAAGGTTTAGAAATAACCTGAGTACTGTTTCCGTTTGAATAGTTTCCAGTTTCATATCTGCTGACTTGAGTAAAATTTTCATGGGCATTTTGACAAAGATTGTTACTTGCATGTTGATTAGAGTTCACTGAAAGAAATTAGTTAAAAATATTAATAATGTTGTTTTAACTATAATTGTTATCAAATTAAAATTGCTATTTCACTTTAAAATTAACGACATTTATGTTTTGGTTTACGTATACGGATTGAAAAACTTTAAACTGACATTTTTAATTCAAAACTACACGCACGTTATGTTGTTTTTTTAACGTAGTATCTTTCACATTGAATTAAATTTTCGAAATGCTTTATAATCAGTTAAGAAACTCGAAGCATTGCGCCTGTGGCATCCAGTTTTCACTTCCGCATACGAAAATGAAAAATGCCATGACCACACACCACACTACAAAAGAGTAATTGTCTCTTCAGATGAACGTATTTTCTCTCAGCTGTATTTTCAGCGTTAAAACAGATAGGATAGTGTTATAGATAGGACAGTTTTAGGATAGTGTTCATAGTTAGTACAAGATTAGCCCTAACTAGCTCAGCTAGTTAGGGCTAATCTTGTACTAACTATGAACACTATCCTAAAACAAAAAACCACTCCTCCATGGACAGATTTGATTTCTTACATCTCACGACTCCAAGCAAATGTAACGAGAATGTTTGCATGATAGTTATCATCCATTGTCGGCTTTTGTATAAGAAATGACTACATTCATAACCATCTTTAAATGGTCTGTATCATAAACACACTAAAGCAAGGCTGTTTCACCACCAACACTTGAAGTATTACAGATACTGTGATATTTCAAATGTTTCAGAAAGGCTATTCTCACGTTTGATGCAGAATTAAATTACATCTAGCATTTTACAAATAGGTCTTATTTGCCCGCTAAGACAAGCTTATCGGAAGCTTCCATTTACATCCAGTGTATTCTCGAGTATCCGTTTGCGGATTATCCGTACGTGGTGCCAACGAAGGTACACTCACAAAGTTATGCCCGCGAGTTTGAAAAAGCAAACCTCGCGCAAGTTCGATAATGAAAAAAAAATCTCCCTAATATAGAAATCGGAGATTAATTTAACTGTGAAGAAGCAGAGGCAGTAATTGAAGCTGTATGCCAAAAAACTGAAAATGTAAAATTCTTCGAAATGGTCTAGCGGAAAAACATCAAGGAATGGTTCGAAGGCGATTTGATGGAGCTGGGCTTTCAGTGCTTGAGTGATGCGGATATCGTATCAAATGTCTAAACAGAACAGGCAGTCAGTTGTACTAAAAGTACTAGCGAAAACGACACATTAGTCCCGAGACAACAATGATTTCTGTTGAAACTCTGTTAGACTTCGTGGACCAAAGAGGTTTCGAATAAAAAGCTATAAAATCACTTCAAAAAATGCGCAGTGAAATTCCATAAATATTTAAATTCTCAAAAATAAAGCTACTGGGCTTGCCCATGTTTTGAAATTAACCGTGAATTTATTGTCATGCATTAGTCGGGATAATCGAGAATATGTTGTAATCATACAAGATAAATACCAATACTAAAGATGCTGAACAAGACTAGAGCCATCGTTTATTCGGTGGTAGGTTCAGGCTTGGCAGAGTACTGTCAAGTCTTGTACTGATACATACTTGTCTGCCCTTGGATGCTGTATACTAAAGATGTTATCCAGCTATAAAATTTAAACAGGTCGATATTGTGCTTTCAGTAAAGTTGCCAGGTAAAATGCCGTGAATGAGAAGGCCGAAGTTGTAACATTTTAGTCTACTTTTATGCTTACGAGTTTTATAAGCAGCTGAAAGATTTCTATAAGGCATTAGATAGTTTTTGATTTTATTCTTTCTTATATTTGTGTTCTGATAATTTCGTTCAGTTAATAATTAAGGCTGACAAATAGTATGCAGTGGGTAAAAAGTATTGACAATTGCCTATAATTAATCATATTACCTAACAAAGCAAATGCTTGACATTTTTAGCTGGAAATAACGAACATAGGAGGTAATAAACACACAAATGTAATAAAACTTTCAATTTAATATGCCTTTTACACAAAATATACAACAAAAACGTAAATTTGCATGTCAAAAAAGTATTGGCAAAGTTCTAACTATGCAAATTTTGTTGTGTTGAGGTTACATGTTTAGACTGATAAGAACCCCTATTAGTATTAAGTCTGCAGAACCACTTTAAAATGTTATTTTGTTACTACTGTGATAAAATGGCTTCAAATTCGAAGGAGTTGAATGTTAATGTAAAAGCATAATTATTCAGCTCAGAAATGAGGTTTTAACTTATCGTGCTATATGAGTACAGTTGAACATAAGTTTATTTACTGTTAGAAGTGTTGTAAAAAAGTTCAAAGAGACAGAATCGACGGAAAATAAGATTACAAGTGTACGGCATCGAATATTTTCTGCAAGGCAAAACGGGGCATTATTAAAGCGGTTAAGAAAACCCTAAAATAATTGCACCCTCAGTTAGCCAAAGATGTTGCTAATATTTCGCATAAAACTTTTAGTGTACAGACTAGAGTGATGGACGACAGGATGTGTGAAGAAAGCGTAACACCGAACCAGGAAAACAACATTTAACTACGACTGTGAATCATGTTGAGTGAGCTTTGTACTTTGGGGCTGTATGGCAGCAAACAGAATTATTAACCTGTGCTTCATTGATGGTATTATGTTAGTACGCACGTACATTGACCTACTGCGCCATAACATGAAATTCAGTGTCCCAAAAACTTGGTTAAGAAACATCATGTGTGTTTAAACAGGAAAATGACTTTAAGGATACAGTGAACTTCATCTCTCAATAGTTACTCTACAACGCTCCTCGCCAGTTAAAGACACCGCCGCAATAGCCTGACATAAATTAAATTGAAACCTTATAGCACAAATTGGACATAGAAGTCAGGAAACAAAGATTTCGTGTTAAGATGAACTGAAACGTATACTCCTGCAAGAATGGCACAAAATTCCCAACAAGACCTTTCTTTTCCCCCCAACAGGACTTTTTCAACAACCACGACTTTGGTTTTCTCTATGAGAAATAGATTACGAGCTCTAATAGATGCGAAAGGTATAAAAACAAAGTATTAGATTTTGTTCCCATGTTTTGCTGTATAATCTTGTCAATACTTTTTGTACATGCAAATTTACGTTTTTGTTGTATATTTTGTGTAAAAGGCTTATTGAAACGAAAGTTTCATTAGATTTTTGTCTTTATTGCCTCCTGTGTTCATTATGTCCTGCTAAAATTGTTAAGCATTTCCTTTGTTAGCTATTGCCAATACAGTTTTAAACCATTGTACGTTTCCTTATGCAAGCAGAAACTATAGGTATAAGAACTAAAAATGTTATACCTACGTGATCTCTTCAGAGGTGAATATAATGCAAGGCTACCCTACAAGGTTTGCTCTTGTGTGACGTCATAGATTCAAAAGCATAGACTCCCTTTGTTTCTCCCACTTGAATAAGTAAGTGAAGTCTGCGTCGCGAAGAACCTAACATTGTTTTTCTGCTGACCTTGCTATAATGAAACGTTCGACTAGCTATAATGAAAGACATCCTGTCGTTCGACGTTGCTATAATGAAACGACAACTAGAATTACATTCTAGTTGCGAAAATAACATATTATTCCCATTTCACAGCAAAGCATAGCATGCATAAACTTAACAGTATTCAGTGTTTTACATCTGTCCGGCCACTGTTTTGATCTCTATAATACCACAGAAATAAAATGATTTATTGGGAAAAAATCTGTATTAATAAGTTTGAGTAAATCGACATTTGTTCAAGGTTTTATCAAGGTTACTGTACACTAGATTTAATCTTCTTGACCAAAGACAACCATTTTGACATCAACATCCTGTTTCAGATCAGAACAAGGTTTCTCCCATTTCATTAAGCAAAATGACGTCACTCAGCAGATCTATAAGATAAGTCACTGTCTCGAGCATCGGAAAGAGAAAGATTTGATCTTGAAAACACATAATTTGTTTGTCTATTATTCTCAGATTATACTGCACAGTTTTTGAAAGTTGGTAAAAATGTTTTTTTGATTTATTTCATTTATACAGTAAAAACTGTTCTTTACTTGCTACTTAAAATAAAATACCTTCTTTTGTATTGCATTTCTTTGTTTTCATTTTATCGTAAATCACTTTAATGAACCAAAAATTTCAAGAGATTTTAAATACTAACTTAAAGACTCAATATTGAAGACTCAAAATATACTTAATATGAAATAATGATATTTAACGTGGCATGTATTAAATAAAAGTATTCATTTACATTAAAAAAAGTAGTTACCTTCAGAATCTGCATCATTTGAAACATTTCTCAATCTACTTGTATCTGATAGATTAGTTGAAACAATTTCCTTATTTGAACATGAAACATTAGTTGTAGCATTTTTCACCGCTTTGCAAAGATTACTAGTAAGAGATATGCTAATGCTGCTTCTTTTGGGCTCAGAAATTTGACAATTTCTTGAAGGTTTTAAAGAAATAAGTTTAGAAACAGTGCTAAAATCTGCTTGAAGTAAGGTAGATTTTCGAGTAGAGTTGTTTGAAGTTCTTTTTTTAGGGCTTACAGATTTACTTTTTAATTTCTTTTCACCGTTAATGTTTGGAGAATTAACAAAATTTAAAGATTTCATCTTTTCCTCTGAAGGGTTGTGAGGTAAATCTGAATTCATTTGATTTTTTTGACTTAAAAGTATAGTATTGTCGATTGCCAAATCTAAATCTGAATAACTGATAGTAGTGTCACACAGTGACTGAACGGAGTGACGCCTCCGGCTACTTTGCTCTTGTTGCTGTGCTTCATCCAACATATTTTTAGTCACCGAAGATTCTAAGTTGAATTCACTAGTGCTCTGTTTCGTTGAATTATTTCCAGCTTTACATTTAGTAGTCTCTTTAGAGCCAGGGTCGTTACAACCACTCCAATTTGATAGCCTCACTGAAGTTGGAAAGAAACAATATTTAAGATGGATTATGTGGCGAATAATTATTAAAAATTTATTATAAAGAAACATGAAAATTTTGTTACTTTTGATACCAGGACACTGAATTATTTTGAAATAATACAATAAATAATTAAAAAAATAATAATTAATTTATTTGCAGCATGTACTTGCAGATTGAAAAGAAAATAATAAATATGAACTAGGTTTTTGCATATATTTGCAATAAAAAATAGTAACAACATCTTAAAAGTTAACGACGTGGAACAGCTATACAGTTTTCAAGCAGTCTTTATCCCCTTGACATACAATGACGTATGGGAGACGCGATTCATTTCATGTGTCATTCTAGACTTTGGCGTCTCCGAGACTGTAACAACCTTCTTCGCCGAACGCAGCGCAGTATATCATTAGGTTCTTCAACTGCTTCAGTCCTGCGTCTTGATCCTGTTTTATATGTTTTCCGTCTCTCATCAGACAAATATCCTGTTTTGTATGTTTCCCACCCCTCGTATTTGTATGTCAAAGGGTTATGACGTCAGGTCACAGAAAACGATTGCGTATACCCTGTTAAAACTTTAAATATTATTATACCAGAACTTCATATTAAATATGGAGAGAATCACAGTGGAAGGTTTCGAAGACTTCGGCTTCTTTCTTTACGAGGTGAAATTATTAACGAACACTTTCATCCATGCTGACAACTAAAATTACAGGCTAAAATTGGATTAATGTTAATGCAACCAGACCTGTGCTTAGGGACATCGTTTTAGGTAAGAACACCTCTAGAAATTTCATAGTCTCCTCAAAAACAATATTTTAATATAGCATGTTCACTTCCCTTTTAAGGACATATCAGATATGGGTAGGGACAATAAAAGCACTTGCAATTCCAAGAACTTTAACATCTTTGTCGAGAACACGCCTAATGTTGCTGTGTTTTGACAATCTTGGTTTCAACTTGGGACATTTTGTTGTTTAAACGAATTCATTTGCTGAATGTGTTTTAAACTTTAATCTCTTGACCTTACTTCATTTTAATAATTAAACTTCGTTATTCTAATTTCTATTCTTTTTAGATGGGATATTGTTCTCAAGTAAAAGAGTCCATACTTTTCTTTCCTTCTAGCAATATGAAATTAAATGGTTTAACTTGTTTCAGATACAATGCCTTTCCTGGTGTCATCTTTTAACCTTAAGACTCATCTTTGAGGGCATAACGAAACAAACGTGTATGCTTATTATGTAAACATTTTATAAAAAATACTATGCTTATTACTCTAGGAAAGAATGCTATGAATGAAATTATGTTATCTTTCTTAAAATAACATTTGAAAGAACGTTATGTTAACCTTTAAAAAATTCTTTAATTTGAAATATTAATAAAATCTCCCTTTTCTTCTCTTTAACACTAATACCTCAAAAGAAATACAAACTTTCATTCATCAAAATGTTAGATTATATTTCGCTTCTGTTTTGTTTTTCGTAAATTTACTCAGTTTTATTTATGTTTGTAAATCATTGTTAACAGTTTTGGAGTAAGCTGTGAAGTCAAGAAACTGATGTTAAGCAGTACATGGCGTTTTTCATTTCAGACGGCTCTCGTGCTTGGGAGCATGTTCTTGAAGGTTAAGAAAAGGAATCTGAGAAAGATTTAACGGGGAATTCTTCTTCGAATAAATAGTGGTTATAGAACCTTAAGTTATGAGGCAACTTTTGTTCTTGTAGGGGTTCCGTCTATTAACTGATAATTTGGAAGACTGCATAAATATAAATGTTCCCTTCCCCGATATTCCTCATCCAGCTACTTTAGAGCCCATAAATTTCTACGATTTTAAAGAGAGTATTGAAATGCGTTTTCATATGATTTTCTTTATAGATGGCAGCAAAATGAACGATAAGGTTGCTCATACATTTGCTCTTTTGAAAAAGATTTTACCTTTTTGAAGACCAGTCTGAGGTTTGTTATTTTAAACACCTTTTACGGAAAGAATGCGCAGTTTTTCAAACAGACCATGACGAGATAAATACAAATACTTATCTTACCATAAAATTAATCAAGAATAATGCTGCAGCATCATCAAGGTACCTTATTTGATCTAATTCTCTTCCTTCTCTTCCCTTTTTAAACAGTGTTACCAGCAGCGACAAATTTGTTTTCGAAACTCTATTAAGTGTCAGTTCGCTTAGCAGTAAGGAAATTGAGATCCGTGTTGTTTACGTGCGTGCTCATATAGGTACTATGGAAATGAAAGAGCTGATTTCTTAGCTAAAGGTGCCTTATACACATAGCTATCAATAACATTATTCCATAGAGTTATTGGAAGTCCACCTATTGTAAGAAGCTTTAAATGGAATGAGGAATATATTTTATCTCGTATTGCTGAGGTCACCAAAAATGTTCTTTTCTTCCATTTACCATATACTGCATTGAGAGTCTTTCGCCTCTATGAATTTTAAAGTATCTTAATTTTTATCTGGTCACGGTAAATCTGTAAGTTATCTGTTTCGTTTTAATGTAAGATCAAATACGTGAGCGTTCAAAATATACCTCAAGATGTGGAACATTTAATGTTTTCCCGCTCTACCTTCGTTAGCCCTAGACCAGGGGTTGCCAAACATTTTTGATCATCGCCCCTATATAATTTTTTGAAATCTCCATAGACCCTCACAAAGGTAGTTTTCAGGTAATTAAAATAAAACTATATATTAGTCTAAATATTTAATAAATCAGAAACAGTAAGTAAAGTAGCTACAGATTTTTTACTTCTTAATGAGATGAGTGTGCCTGGTGTTTCTTGGCAAGGTTCGCTGTATATTGCGTTCGAAATTAGTCAATTTTAACCGTACAATTCCCTCGAATTTTAACTCCACATTTAATGTACTTTCTGTTTTTAGTTAAAATTGAATTAATGTGACTGAAACCGGGTTCAACCATATACGAACTTGGAAACGCCAGCATAAAATGGCTGAGCCATTTCGTAAAATTTTGCATATTTTTGCTTTATATTTATATTAGTCCAAAATTCATGTATTGTCAAATTTTTAATAAGCGTTTTTGCTTCAAGATCGGACAATAGTTCAGCAAGCTCATCTTGTATGTTGATGTCGACGTTATCAATTTGCGCCGAAAATGGCGCAATAATCCAATCAGGGATGTCGATGCTTTCCAAATCAACAAAGCGCAGTTTAAAATCGTCGCTTAATTTTTGAAGATGATTTGTATATATTTCCAAGTCTTCTTCTTTTATTTTTAATTGTTGCAGATTTGAAAAATATTTATAATCCTTACGTAGCAATGAAGATCTAAATAAATTTAATTTTATTTGGAAGCCTAACAGTATTGATTAGCTTGGATAATTGTTACATCTTTTCCTTGCAGTTTTGTTTGAACGTCATTAAATTTTCCAAATAAGTCTGCTAAATAAAAAATATGGTTCTTATTGTTTTGGAGTTCATTCCTTAGAACAGGATTTATTTCGTTCAGGAATTCTGTCGTGGAGTCAAATAAATTGACGAGCCGTTGCAAGCATACATCTCTAGACAACCATCTAACCTCGGTGTGCAGAAGTAATTGGTTAAATAACTCATTGGTTTCCTCACAAAGTTTGGCAAATAATCTGATTTAAGAGGTTGAGCTTTAATTTGATTAATAGATTTAATACAAAACTGTAAAGCTTCATGTAACTCTGAACTCAGATATTTGCTACTAAGTTGTGTCTATGCAACACACAATGAATAGTACGAATACCGGGCATTTTTTCTTTGAGGCATGTTGCAAAACCTCGGTAACGCCCTACCATAGAAGGTGCGCCATCTGTGGCTACTGCTATTATATTTTCAAGCGGAATGTCATATTTATTTAAATATTCTCGTAAACATCTAAAAATTGTCACTCCCTTCCCATCGGTTTCAAGACATTTAGCAAATAAAAATTCATCAATGACTTGTCGTCGTTCGCCAAGTCTGCGCCAAAGGCTCCTAATTGGTTGATGGGTTCGCCAGCAAGAGACACGGATAAGCCTCAACCGCTCTTCTGGCTACATACTATGAGTCGTGCAAATTACAAACTGGTCACAAGGTCAAGTTGTGACGTCACGGTATACATACGAAAAGGCATAAGGAAAAAAGGATTCTCGAAATACCTTAGCAGTGATTATGCTTTGGAATTCGAAGTACACGCATTAAAAAAAGGTAAGAAAAAAACCGCATTGTAATGACTGGTTTGATTTATTTAATTATGGCAAAGCACTCGAGGGCAATATGCCTAAGGGAAAGAATACCTTCGTAGAGGACCTTCTAAGGTTTGCTCGTATACACGTTACACATGGGGAAAACAATGAAAATGCCCATGCAACCAGCCTGTTCGCAGAGATTTGAATCCCGGACTGAACTACCAATGTCCAGCGACTTTACCTTCCCCGTGGTTGGTGGGCAATTGTAATGAAGTAAAAAATAATCATGTTTATTGAATAAAATACCAACATCAATGACAATGTTATACCTAAACAGTATCTGAAGTTTAAAACGCGGAGCTTCAATGCGACGTCACTTTATTTAACTTCCAATCGCGTCAACCTTGCATGAAAAGACTGGAATAAGAACCTCTTACCTATCCATCGGAAAAGGCCGAATTGGAATGATTTTCAAAAAAGCCTCATCTGTGACATTGTAATGTAGGACATAATATAGGTCTGTAGTTAAAAGCAGCCAGTATGCTCATGAAAGCAAACAGAATTTCGGTTTTCAGATTTTATTAATTCTTATCTTGCCTTAAATAATAGAATATGAAAAATTTTTATAGTAATCATTTAGCGAAAATCAAATCGGTGTAACATTTTTTTTAGAGTTTAAAATAGTAAGCTGGTTAAAAGCCAATTTGCTAAATTTTGTCGAATACGAAGTGGAACAAAAATTAAACTGTGATGAAAAGGCACAATACAAAATAGAACGGTTCTCGGATTTGGCACTACTTTTCACTTTTAAACCTATGTTTAAAAAAATCACATACAGTGATTTTTGCATGTAGCTCTGGAATCTGCTGTTAAGATAATTAAATGTTTCAGAAATACGCTTACTTTAATATGATGTTCCAATTTTAATTCAAAATTCCCTTCAAAAAATTTGTAAAATATTAAAAAAATAAAATTGAAAAATGCCAATTTCATTTGCATTAAATCTACATTTCAGATGAAAGAAAAACGCAAGAAAATTTAAAAACGCGGTTTTATATCACATACAAACACATCAAAAAATCCGGAGCTAAAATGTTGAATATTAATTTCAAAAAATTGCTTGTGCAATTTTTTATGAAACGTGGCTGTTTGGCGCAATTCTAATTTCCATATCGAAAACATTATTCTTTTTATTTGACATAGAAAATTTATTAAAAAGCCAAACAACGAAGGAATGTTCGAGCGTCTTCGGTCTAGAAGAGACTGGCATATTACTTTACCTTATTGACATCAAAACATTCTATCTCCATAACACGATCCACGTTCTATGTAACAAACCTGTTTGCAGAGAAACTTTATGATCCTCTATTAAACTCCCATGTTCCTTTTCTCGTGACGTCCAAAGCATGGTATTTACATTGAGGAGGGAAATTTCTATTCCTCAATATTACAAACTCTGAACAGTCCAATGATTTAGAAAAAAAAAAAAAAAAAAAAAAAAAAAAAAAACTCGATCTGTTTTGAGAAATTACGTTTTGAGATATTACATCCATCCAGATTTTAGCGTTCAAGAGAAAAATTTGAGTTCATTAAAATGACAATAAATTTTCACAAAAATAAAAGTATGTAACATTAATTCGTTAATCAAATAGCAATGTTAAGTGATATTTGTTTAATAAGATATTTTTTTTGGACAGTTTATGATAAATCGTAAAAAAAGAAGCTGTTCCTAAATTTCTAGGCCCATTAGCAGGTAAAGTAGATGAATATCTATAAATTCGTCAAAGGTTCGAATCCCGCGAATGGGCTGGCTGGATTACAGCGAAAACATCGCGGAGAAAACAACGCAAGGCGAAGGCGTCGTGGTACAAAATATCGTGGGAGAAAAGAAAGCAAAGAGAAAAAAAAGATAGTACTTGTAGTTCTAAAACATCGGGATCGAAAATAAAGTGGTTCAAAAACTTCGCAGTTTAAAACCATAGACTTCGAAAATATCATGGTAAAAAATAAAGTAACTACAAAATCATCGCATGACGATAACATCGCGCATATGCGTTTTTCAAGTTAAAAGTTAAAAGTTGTAACTGCATTTTCGCGTAATGATTTGGGAGCGCAAGAAGGAAAGTGGGTTCACAACACTTCAAGAATAACAGGAAACAAAACAAGACATAAATTTCACTAAAGAGTAGCAGATTAACAAATGTGAAGGAAAATAATTTGATAGTTAACTAAGCAATTTGTACAGAAGTAAAAAACATGCAGTTACTTGTCTTCCTTTTTCTAAACACTTTTAGAGTGTATTTATCATAAAAAATTATCAGTAAAACTTTATAAAAAAGATTAATTTTTTAATAACTTTTGTTAATTAACTATGTTAATTAAAAAATTAAGTACTATAAGTTGCATTAATTTTCTACTCATTTTATATTTTTAAATGCTTCTTCTTACATTTTTAACAAAAAAATTATTACTTCATTCAAAAATATGAAATATAGAAGTAAAAATTCCCTCTTTCCTTCTTGCGTTCCCAAATCATTATGTCAAAATACATTTAAAACTTTTAAAACATGAAAAACGCATATATGTGATGTTATCATCATGCGATGATTTGTAGGTACTTTATTTTTTACCACGATATTTTAGATGATATTTTAGAGCTGCAGTATTTTCTCTTTGCTTTCTTTTCTCCCACGATGTTTTGCACTACGACGTTTTCACCTTGCGTTGTTTTCTCCACGACGTTTTCGTTCGCGATGTTTTCAGCGGATACCGCATGCCTTTTACGTGATTTTCCCCATGTATAACGTGTATACGAGCCAGTTTCACTTAGAAAGTCTTCCACGAACGCATCCCTTCCCTTAGGCAGATAGCCCTTAGTGATCCTAAAATTTCATAGCATTTCAAAATAACAAAAACCTTTCTCGTTAACTTCAGCCCGAGATGTTCTGGAAGTAATATAGCAGGTTTCGAAAAGATGAAAAATTCACTGAAAGTTTAAAACTATCTCATTAAGAGTTGAAAATATTTGCAATATAAAGCTACAGAAAATGAAATTATACAGTACAAAATGGTAAAAACTTTGTTGTAAATTACCTTCATTTTCATTTATAGGTAAAATGCATTTTCCTTTCTCCTGCTTATGATCGTCTGAATGTACTTCATTTTTCTCAGAACTCTCTGAAATTAGCTCATTAATTGGATTCAATTCTATTGTGCGGTTTTTGTGATCACTTCTATATCTGAAAAGAAATTTAATATTAATCTGAGCTTACAAATGCAAGAGAACTGTCTTTGTGACAATTGAGTGAGATTATTTATAAAACCAGTTATTTGATTGACCAACTGCCTACACAGTTATAAAATAGAAAAAATATATAACGATTTTAACAAGTCCAGTTAGTGTAATTTCATAAGAATATTTAATATTCCTAATTACACATTTCCTGAATTAAATGCATTTAATTTTTAATATAAATCAATCGGATTAAAAAGTCTAAAACTAATTAAGAACAGTGTTTACTGCTTTTAAATCGCTTGGGTTGTTAATGGATAACAAACATTAAATTTGAACGTTAAATATCTTAGGCTGTGTTGAATGGTAACAGGTGGGTGGGGTGGGAGCTAAAGTATTTTTTCAGGCAGTGGCATTGTTTTTATTGCTTTTAGGCCGTAACAATACATTACTTTTAAATAGTTGAGTTTTTTTGGTAAAATTGAAAAATCTTTTAGTTTTCCGAATGGAAACAGCCTGGAGCGCAGGATATAAAAATGTTTTATTTCGAGATGTGTTATTTCGAAATAACGTTCGAAATAACGCTCGGGTGGAGGACGCTCGGGTGGTATTCAAAATGTGGTTGCTATAGGTGCCGTTATTTTCCCACAGTGCGAAGAACATACGAACGTGCATATATACATATTATTTAACAGTAGAGATTAATGAAACATGAAGTTAATTTTTAACTTTAGTTTCTTTTTAAACTAAATTTTGTTATACTTACACGCCATTTAATACGAAAGGAATAGGTCCCGAAGGTATTTCCAGATACAGCAAGGTTTCTTCCAGATCTGTGAGAATTTGCTTAGTGTTTTGAACAGACTGGAGCAAGTTTGCACGAGAAAACTTTAAAGAAGAAAAATATAAAATTTGCTATTTATATCTGTATTATAAAAGATTACAACTAAGATAGCATAAATTTCATTTCAACACAAGATACTTTAGTTCAAATGGATAAAACTACTTTACGATAAATTTAATTAAATTTATCGCAAAAAATTAAGTTAATTACTTTTATAATTATTAAAATATTAATTATTTAATAAATGCCATTTATTAGTATACAAATTTAGTTTTGTTTATTTGCGTTGCAATTTCTCGCACAAAACCTTACAAAGTTATCTGCACCGTACCGGTGGCCGAAGCGAAGATTAAAAAATGTTAAAAATCTGCATGCATACAAATTTGGACGATTATTTCCAAATGTGGTAGGATTGGTATATAATTCATGAGTGACAAGGTATTTTTTAAATTCTGCTTCACATTATCAAGGAAGAATGTAGTAAAATTACCACATCGGAAAGGGGAAAAAAATGTTCTTAAAATACATATTGAAAATATTAGTAAATAAATCAAACATTTTCGATGGCTAATTTAGTTTCTTTGGGAAAAGCGTTAATTATTTAGTGGACAAAGAACCTGATGTAGAGGAAGTTTACAAGGAAGATTAAATCGTAAATTTCAAAATGCAAAAATTCACGGAATACATTTCAAAAACCTTATTTCTTATTTACTCAAAATAGCTATAACAGGGCCACAGGAATAAGTTAGTAACTTATACTAACACAGCCAAAATCAATAACAGACTCAATCTTTTGGTGTTAAAATATTGTTTTTGGTGAAGCCATCTACTAGAGGAAAAACCCAGAAAAGGTTGAGATCTGCAGTCAGAGGGCAATCATTTATCTAAATCCTCACAAACATTTTCAGAGGCTCTGAAGTTCATTTATTAGTAAATGTAAAATTATTAATCCATTGTATATTTTACGTAAGCGATCTTACAATATTACGTCCATTCACCTTCGGTCTTTATAGGATATAGATTGTATTATTTATTTATTTTTCTGTTTGATCAATTAAATAGAAATCCATTAATAATTTTACTTTAAAAATTATACTGTGTAATTCAGCCATTTCATAGTTCGATAAATTTCAGAAAATCCGAGAAAAATTATGTGTTTTTTAATACAAAAGAAAATTACATTATATACGAAAAATTATCCATACCAAAAATAAAGTGTATATGTTACCGTTAAAGTATATAATGCAGTCATTTCATAGAATACTTAGTTATTCCATGAAATAACTGATCGTGTCCGTTAAAGTGTGTAATATGTTAATAATTTGACACTTTAACTAGTTATTCTATGAAATAACTAGGTATTCTATAAATTAACTAATGAGAGACAGTTAAAGTGTAAAATAAACAATTTATCTAAAAATGAAAAACTAGGTATTCTATTAATAAATTAAGGATAGACAATAAAATAAATGAAGCAATTTATCTAATTTTTGCGCAGCATAAATGCTATTTATGGAAACGTACCATAAAATCACTTTGTTACAGCAAGGATTACTAAAATGACACTTGGAATTACAAAGAACATTATTTCTAAAACAAAAAAAAATTTTTGTTGACACACTGGGTTTTACACGAAACATTTTTTAAATCCCTGACCAGTACCTAAACTTTGAGCTGTAGGAACCGAACGATTCTTTGATTTTAATTCATTTTTGTTCGCAACACTGAACTGGGATCGGGAACATAATTTTTCGGCCGTTTCTTGTGCCCAATTGGAAAAATCCTTCTTAGGTTTTTTTGATGATAGCTAAAATAGTTTGGCATCACCTTTTCCTCTGCACTTCAGCACAGTGGAACCGCCGTTACCCCGTCAACGCTGTACGACGTGTTTTCGCGAGCTCGCTTTTCGCCTTATTATTTTAAGTTAGTTTTGATATAGTTTACACAAGAGTTATATCAATTTAAAGTTCTTCAAAAGCTGAGCAATTTGATATACATCTGGAGCGATTCCGTTTATTAGTGGTGGATTAATTAAGTCTTTAAAGCAGAAGTCATTGTTCGTATCGCGACCTCGTGATATCTGCTGAGGGTTACCGTGACCCCGTGAAGTGCCGTTTTGTGGTGTTTACATCTATTAAGATTTCTCTGGCACCTACAGGCATCCAATTTCAATCCTAGTACCATTGGAAAGTGGAAGATATGATCTCTTCATTGATACCAGTGCTGTGATTGTGAAGTGTTTGTGCGATTTATTACAGTGTTTTTATTGTGCGACATAAAAGTGCCATACTTCTGGATTAATCTGCCCTTATCTCCGGTCTAAGTGGGAATATCGACACCATTCTTAGACGATAAGGTAGGCTTTTAGATTACCTTTCTTTTAGTGTATCATTCGTCCTGCTAGCTTAATTAGTGACTGAGCGCCGTAAGATTTAATTGCAATTTTCCTGTGTGACCTTGTTCTTTCCCCGGTATCCTCACCCGGCTCGTTTTTACGACACAGCGGTGAAGGGTCGGTCCAGCAGGACAGGTCGCCTTTTGAACTTGTCGGACAACTCCTTGTCAAGCTCTTCTAGCGCATGCGCGCATAGTAGAGTGCAGTTGCTAGAAGTCTTGCACGTGCTTTTGTTTACAATTTGAACTTAGCTGCACGGTACTTAGCCAGCCTTTAGTACACCCAAATTTTTAACCCTGTTCTAGTTTTTCACTGTGCATTTAACTTTTATTCTATTATATTTACTTTTTTTATTACTTTATCATCATTATTATAATTTTTATACTTATTTAATTTCATCTTCCTGTAAATTTTTGTTTGTGCTTATTTACTGATAGCCATCTATTGTACTCTGTTTCCATACCTTGTTAAGTTCGTTTAGATTTTATTTCTGTATATGCAATTATTCTGTGTATTGTATACATTGTATGAGAAAATAGGCTCTGTGGCTGGTTTCTTCACAGCATTCAGTTCCGTACATTTAGCATTTGTGACGGAAATTAATGAGTTTTCTGTAAATTCCATTCACTTCTCATTTACTTGTCACCTTGTACCCGTGCACGCTAACTGTTGGCAGCGCTTTCATAGCACGAACTTATATTTAATTGTATTGCCTTAGATTATGTAACTGTACGCTTTTTATTGTAATTCTGCATATTAACTGTCATTGTCTGCATTCATCCTTATTAATTAGACAATAATTTTAAGGGAATTAGCTATAACTGATTCCCTTATATTTCGCTAAACATAACAACGTTAGTTCTCTCTCTCTTTTTTTTTTTTCTTATCTTTAATTTGAACCGGGGAATATTCAGTAGACAATAAATTTTGCAATTTAAATTCAGTTGTCTATACATATAATGTAAGAAAGGCATACTAACTTAACTTAAAAGAAACTTCATATTAAAATAGTAACTACTACAAGCTGCTATTTTTTTGGTTTATACTATAGTATTATAATAATATGTATAGTGTAGTATTAGTGCTATGGTGTTTAGTATAGATATATAATAATATACATCTATATGTAACCTCTGTACACGCATTGTAATATTTGGTTTATAATAATAGTATATACATTATAGTATTTGTGCTGTGGTGTGTATTATTATAGTGTATATATTGTAGTATTTGTGCTATATTTTAGTATACATATGTGTTATATTTAGTAATTTCGTGTGACACTCTGTGATTTGTGCCTTTACTTAACACTCTCCTACCTTGCACATGTGCCACTCGGAACTGTGAATCAGCGTAAGTACTCATTACCTGGTGAAAATAAGTGATTAATGACCTAGCGAATTAGTGGCCTATTGACGAACTCTGATCTAGTGACAGTAACACAGATCTTCGCAGTGCTACTTTTTAGTGATTTAGTGTAAATTCGGCTGACAATGATTAATACAGATACCTCTGTAGTTCTAAATACATCCAACCTCGATTCTCTAGTAAATTCCAGTGTCGTGTCTCACGAAGAAAAGATTGAAACATTGCACGCAAAGTGCACTCGTATTGCGCAAGTAAAACGAGGAGGGAAACCTCTGCTTCCCTTATACATACGGATATTCCCTTATACATACATGCTTACTGGAAACACTACAGGCCCTTAAGTCTCTGGCACTAGAAGGTCCCTTCTGTAGGGTATCACCACAGATCAAGGAAGCCTCAACCAATACGGATCACGTGGTCACTAAGAACGCAGAAGTTGCTGTTAACTCAGACACACTGCAAAAAGCATCTCATATTTCTCCTCCTCATCCTACCTTTGCTGAAATCCTCAAACAAAGAAGTCCCTCATTAAGACAGACCAAACAGCCCAGCTTGCTGATTGCGCCAAAGAAGAACATTTCACACATTGAGCTAAGAGAAGAATTACGCGCAAAGGCGCCGATTTCTAAACTTCCAGTGGCTGTGGAAAAGATTGTAGTGCACAAGAAGGGCGGCTTCGAGGTGTTCTGCTGCAAATCCTCGGATGACCTCACACTCCTGGAGGCACAATTACAAAGAGCGGAAATTCCGGCAGACTTTCAACACCCTGCAAGACGAAAGCCACGTTGTACAGTACACAATGTTGCAGAGGACACGAAGCCAGAGGAACTCGTGGATGAACTCAGTACAGCCACGGCAGCCCCAAGAAACACCTTTAGACCGCTCTTCAAGCTCAAGGAACGCAAGGAAAAGAACGTCAAATGGGTCTTTGAATGTGACCCGCATAGCTTCGCAGCAGCTCTCCGAATCAGACATTTATACACAGGATGGCATGCACACACCATCCGCGAATATCTCGGGATCAAGCGCTGCTTTAAATGTCAACAGCTTGGCCACCTACAAGTCTCGTGTCCTTGCAAATACCAGTACTGCGCGTACTGTGCAGGTCCACACCACGTGCGAGACTGTCACGCACGAAAACCAGCATGCATCAATTGTGGGGACGCAAATCATAAGCACGGAATGCAGTACGATACCAGGCACCCAGCTTACCACCATGCCTGTCCTGAGTATCAGAGAACAGCAAAACGAGTCAGAGATGCCACGGAATATTAACACAGA